TCAAGAAAGAATTGAGAACCCCTAACAGTAAACTGTTTGGGGAAAAAAGAACATACGAATTACAAAATTGACAACTTTGTTGGACTCCCTGAAAGATGCACAATTTTTGAGGGTCCGATATGCGTCATCAACATAGGACGTAAAGTAGGACGTAAAGACGAACGGTAGCGTGCAGTGGATGAAAAAGCATGTGTATATATATAGGAAACAGCAAATTGCAGGAAAGGCCAGATTGGAGGCATTGTTGAATATAAGTTGGATCCCCTTAAACATGTACACTCTCAAGGGAGTCAAGAAAATAGTAAAACATTGATGATATATACGAACTATAAAGCATGCGTGATCGACATAAAACCAGAGATGAAGTACTCGTGTAAGATTTGACCCATGTGTTTGTGAAATGTTATTATCACTTGTATCCCTCAAAAACATGTGGAATTTCAATAGCGTCCACATCTACAGTGCTGATCTTTCGTTTACGAATCATCTGGGGTGTTGGCTTGGACACGGATTGGCGCCTGCTTTCCTTGCGCTGTCTCTTAGAACAAATGGCACGAGTGGTTATCGTCATCATCGCCAAGCAACCCACATAAAAATCAAATGAGGAGGGAATGTCTGGAAGAATAGGGCTGTGAGAGTGACCTGGTGAGATTCAAGGTATGTCGATTGTTGGCTTTGGTCAGAGGGTTGCAAAAATATTTTCAGACACTTCGTCTTTCTTTGGCAGCTGTCTATTTACTAAGCAAAACAAGCTCGATGTGTCGCTGCTCAAGAGCAACAATTTCAAACCCAGATCTGTACTGTTTCTTTCACTCCCACCTTCGTTGCGATCAATCCCTTGAGATGCTCACGCCTCACAAACTAGATACATCCTGCGCTTGAAGGTCGGGCAGTGGTGAAGAAGAATTTGCTCTCAGGGTTCAACGTTGGCTCAAAGCTCCAGATCTTCTGAAAGTCAGGGATTGCTGACTGCGCGCGTACAAAACTGCGCATCAAGGCAAGACCTTCCACCCCCCAACTGAGCTTTTCAAGTCGCTAGCTCAGACCCATTATGTACATCAATGGTTTGTGGCTTAGTAGCTCAGGTGGCCCTCTGTGCCTGCGCAAACTGCATTAGGCCAGGGTTGTTGTCATGAGTTGCAGTCCTTGGCTCTCAGAACCGGACAAAACATGGCAAGCTTCTCATGCAAACAAATCAAATTTGGGAGGAAACGTAAGCAAGTGCCGCAGCATTGCTGATGCCTTGTCACGAAGAGGAGCATGGTACGAGCTAAACAAAAGACTTGTTGACTTCAAACGGTCGAAACTTTGGCCTGCCGGACTGATGGCTCCTGACAGTTGTTGCGAAGAGGGAATGCCCTTCTCTGCAAGTCTCATACCACAATCAGCACATTGAAGGTACATCGAATGTCTGACAATGCTATCTATGTCTATCTTCTTTAATGTTCACACCACACTAGCAAACCAGGAGTCAATTTTAGATCTTAGAATAGCCCGGCTACCGAAGCCATGCAAAAAGAAACTACTGTCAATGAACATGAACTTTGAATAGGGTGGATATAGAAAGCGAGCCGTTCATAAACTAAAAAGTGCCAATGGTATTTTTGCCAAACACTGACAATACAATTATAAAATCAATACTCTCTCTATAATTTTAGCCTGCTTTAAGTTTGGCGTAGTTATATACTAGCCATCAAAAATGGACTTGACTTACTCATGTACAATTTTCGACATAATCCTTTTTCAACATATTTAATTTAACCAACTCGTCGATTTTCAACAAACTAGTTAATTACATTGTTTCAGTAACATCAAAAGTAACACCTAGCTCAAGACAATCAACATATTTACAACATCATTCATTGAAAACACATAAATTCAAAGTCTTGGAAAAATCAAGAACCTCTTACGAAGACCTAAAGCGCACAATCATAGACACTTGTCAATAGAAAGGAACTTGTTTGTACCAAAGTCTGCCATCATCAACTTAGCGTACTACCCTGCAATACTAAGCCTGCTTTTCTAGTAGGTTGCAATAATAAACTTGACTTTCTCTACAATAAAAAAACACGCTTTTGAGTTTATGTGGGTATTCAGGTAACTGTTTTGCTTGATCGATTATAACCAACCTGAAATCGTCCAGCCAATCTAAAGCCATCAAATTCTACAAGTACATTCCTTCCAGCAAATTTTGGCAAGGGTACCCCTTACATTACAAGTGCCAATGGCATACGGTTATGAAGTACTGTCAAAAAGATCAAACGTGTTCCCACGCACGCCGTAAGATCAAATTTCGCCAACAAGGACGTGGGAATGTCAGTAAACCACTGCGGCGAAGGAACCAAACCGTGACCAGGCGTCTTGCTTTTGACGAAAACAGCCGCCAAAGCTCTGCAAAAGTCTTCTGGGTACTCTTTCAAACAACTCGTCTTCCATTGATTGTTGTCCCGCCCAATGGCAGCAGCCCTGGGTAGAGAACACGTACGCATTTGAATGAGGATATCTTCAACCTCCGATATGACATTAGTCATCAGGAGGTCTGTTGGCTTCACCGCCGCTGATCTGTAGAAGCCCTGCAAGATGCGGACTTTGACGCCGCTCTCAAAACGGAGGAGGTACACCAAAAACAATCTCCATATCGACTCTGTGTATGGCGACTCATCATATTATGATTGCCGTCTTGTCATGGGTGAGGGCAACACAGAACAAACGCAGGTCTAGGTCATTGCAACTGCCTGCTTCCGGAGCTGTACCACATTCGCAAACAGCCTCAAGAACACAGAAACAAAATGCCTTCGCCGCAAAGGAACTCCCATTCTCCACGCAGTAAATGCAAAATGAGTAGTCACACAAGCTCCTTCCCATTTGACTTCACGAAATCGTCTCTTGACCTGAAGCCTCTGAAGTGTAAGGTTCCAAGTCGTCGTAGTGACATATTCTTTTCTTGGTCGAGTTTTAGGGGCCGGGAAATGAGCCGTCAAAGTCTTGGACACCCAGCTTGAAAGGAGAGTAGCGTGTTCATCAACCCCAACTCCCGATCCAATTTCAGGTTTCACCCCGGAAGATTTGATTGAGCTCATCAACTCGACAGTTCTGGAGCTGCCGACGATCGAAAGCCTGGGATGGCTTGGTGTGAGAGGCACGCCACGCAGCAATCTCATACCCGAAGGCCAGCGGTTAGTGGTCAGGTCCCGAGTGGCCTGGGTCCGGGGTTGTCGTGTGAATGGGTGGAAAACTTCGAGGCCACACATGTCTCACAGGCGCGATCACATAATCGCATCTTGAAGCTTGGCCCCGCGTCGCAGAATTGCCCAGCGCACTTCTTCAAAAGTGGAAGGCGAAACTCCCTAAATCTTTTGGAGAGGGTTAAGGAAATGGTCTGCAGGACGGCTTTGCTTCTCTTCCAATCCCCAACTTCCGACGTGTGGCAAACATGGAAAACTAAAGCGCGCACTCGCATCTTTGCCGCCCAGAAAATTGGGGCAGGCTGCTGTCCACCGGAGCAACACTGCCGTCAGCTCACTCCAGTATCGATCAATCTTTTCATTGTCATTCCCGAACGAGGGGCGTGGGCAGTGAACAGAAGAAGATCTAAGCCTTTATACCTAACCTTAGCAACAAGGAGTTCAGGGGAACTATGGACATTGAAGACCTCTTGCTTTCGAAAAAGTTCAAAAAGTTCTTGTCCCCTTTCCAAGGCACCCAGCCAACCAAATGTCTGCGCCACCCGTTCCTTGTTCTGCGCCCGCCACCATACAAACGCGCGAAGCCGAGCAGACGGCCAACTTGCAGGACGAGAACACAAAGTTGAAAAAAGCAATGAAGTTCCTCGCTGACCATGTGGGACAGAAGGCAGAGGTGCCACCAGATGTGAAGGAGCTCGTAGAAATCGATCCGAGGGAACTCCTGAGGATCAAACAACGCAAGCTCAACGAGGAGAGAAGGAATTTGAATCGGGCAGAGAAGTTGCGAGAACACATCAAGATAAGAAGAGCGAGGGCAACTTCAAATCCTGGCAAGACGGCATTTTTGGCGGTGTCAATCAGAAGAGAAGAGACATGCCTCCATCCTTGCCGAGATGAAAGAAGCACTGAAAGGTCACGGCCACAGACATCTCATGATGAGATTGGACGGGGTGATGTTCGCATTGTCCGACGGCCCTTGTCAGGTGATGTTGCGGCGATGACTTCGAACAGAATGATGTGGTGGTGGCGGCTCTCTTTCTGTGTTTTGCCCCCACCGAGTAATCCGGTATGGTGGCTATGCCGAGACCTGAGCAAAATGGACTATTCTTTTCTCCTTGTGATGAAGTCGTCATTGAATCTGTCCGGGCTACGAGTCTGGAATTGGAAAGGCCCATGATGTCCCATGAGAAGAAAGCTGGTGTCCCATCTCCATTGCTGGATCATTGATGGCGCAATAAGATTTACCGTCAGCCAGGCTGCCGCCTCTACATGATTTTGTGCATCAGCTTGTGTCTCGAACGCCTTTGTGTTCCCTGCCTGTGAATGACATCCTGGATTCGTTGCCAGAAGAAATCCAAAGTCACTGTATGCAGATACGGACATGTGGGATTGAAGCGGTGTGTGCTGTTAACAGTCAACATTTACACTGACGGCTCATTCATGCCCAATGTTTCTGATGCGGCTGGTTGGAGCTTTGTGGTGATAGCCGTGGATGTACGTGGCCCACTCTGCTTGGATTGCGATTATGGCATCGTGGGGGTGGGCTGGTGCAGCATAGTGATGTTTTCTCGTTGTAGGAACAAAGACTGTTGTCTTTGCTTTGACGCTTTAGCTGCTGGATTTGCTGCCTCCGGTGATTTTGGGCTCAATGAGAATGATGTTGCCTCCAAGATTGCCAGAACAGAAACCTTTCTTTTGCTTTTGGATTTTTCTGGACACCTGGGAAATGAATTGGCTGATGGGGTCGCCAAGCTGGCTGCAAAGACGGGAAAGGGACCTTACAGTGGCAGACGACCTGGATATGTGGCTATTGGGTCGCCGGCGCCGATTGACTACCTATGGGCCTTCTTTCGCAGCCTGAACCACTGAAATTTCTCTTTATCAAGGAAAGATTTGTGGCTGGCCGGCTGCCCGCCAAGTTGGTTCAACCCCGACCAACCAGTGAGGGATATTGAAGAGGGTTCCCATCAAAGGAGCGACATACAATGTTTCAACGCTCAGGCAAGCTGATGGCGCATGCCATGCAGCATACCTGCTTTCGTCATGCCATTTCGCCATCGCCCTACTACAAGAGACTCGTGCCAAATCCTGAGGCACGATCATCTGCGCTGCAGAAGAAGAGGGCGCTGACGAGGAGGATCCAGAGTCGAGCTTGCCAGGCTGTCCATCAAAGCCTATGAGGACATTCTTTCCTTCTCCCTTTTTGGTCTTCTTTGCCGCTTCCTGCTCTTTCTTTTGATTCTTTGGCTGCGGTGTGGCCCAGTGTTCCCAGTCCGCAGATTCTGCCCATCTTCCACACTTGTCTGTCTTCCATGGCATCTTGTAGACAGGTGCACTATGATGACTTTCAAGCAAATCAACACACTTCAGTACTCTGGATAGCCGAGTCCTTTTGGGAACTGTCGAAAGCGAAGCAAGTATTTCCGGGCTTGAGACCTTCGGGTTCTCTTCCTTCTATGCCACGTAGGGCTCTTCGCCCTAGCGCTAACCCGCAGCAATGAAAGATGGCGTGCAAAAAAGCACTTGGGGCTACCAAGTAAATCTATCTGAAAGCTAGTGAGCTCGAGCCCTGTCTCTTAGGTGCCAATGATAAGCTTGAACTCTCCTGTACAATAATAAACTTCCTTCTGAACTATTGCAATTATAAACCGAACTTTCTCCGGTGTATTAACATTATTAATAAACCGTTGGGAGTAGCAATATTGAACAACGCTCGTTTTTTCAACAACCCTTCTCGGCTTCGTTTGGACTTCGCCTCCGACATGTCCGACTCCCGGCTGAGCTGCTCCTCCAAACCGGCCATCGCACGCCAAGCCTTGGAGGCGGATCAAAAGTGAGCACTGAGCATGTTTTTTTTTTTTTTTTAAACTATTTTTAAAGGGGAGGGTAGGCCGCGATAGTAGTAGCTAGAGGAATAGCCAGTAGCCTACTTAAGCTACTAGGAACTGGACGCAGGATAGCTCGTGCTAATGATATGGTTCCTTAGGGAAACTTAACTACTAGTGTTTTTTTTGTTTGTTTCTTGCTAACTTGTGCTTTGTAAGTGAGCCAGCGTCTTCACCTCTTTTTTTTTCGTGATATATTGCAACAGTGGAATGTGCCAAGTTGCCTCTGCAGGCGTTGTCCCTTCTCCAGGAGCTGGCATCGTGAATAATCTCTCATGAATCCAAAACAAGGAAGTAAGTAAGTAATGGTATCACCTTGCGCAGTGCAGTACTCGCCAGATACTCTATGTGCACTACTGAAAGACTGACAAGCTACATGCCAGAACAATTTCTCAAGTCAGTCAGTGGTCAACCCAGGTTGGAGCTTCAGAAACATCTCCTCATCTTGTTGAGGAAGGGAACTTTCAAACCACAGCAAACTCAAGCAGCTTCAAGTCGCAGCCTGGTTCAGGCGAATTGCCTGTGCAAGTGTGCAAAGCGTGAGTTCTTGGTTGAGCCAAGGCATTGAGGTCTCGTGGAATAATAAGAGCCAAGAGACTTGAGACCTACCTGGTCTACCCGTTATATAAAAGGAAGTTAAAGATTTGTACTGCGTGCAATTCGATGTCTCGGAATGGGACCTAGAAGTGCAGAGACATTGCAGCCAGCTGCGGCAGCGGCCGCCAGCACGGCCTCGTTGGTGCCCTCCTGGCTGTCATGTTCATGTGGACCATTGTGGACCATTGTGGACCATTGTGGACCATTGTGGACCATTGTGGACGTGTCATGTGTCTGTTTAGTTCTTTTCCCCAGGCCTGCATGGGAGGACCTTGGAACAAGCTTCATTTCAAGACAAACTATGACAACATGACAAATCTCCCTTTAAACGTTGTTCCTCGCGCCTTCTGACCTTGGACCTTGGAGTTCACACTCCGCTTTTCTGGCACACTTGCTGAGAGCGTCGTATGCGTTATAGCCTTTCAGTTGCGCAAGTCCTCTTTGGGATGAAAAGCGCAACTGCGCGAGCAGCTCTGAAAGATGTACAGTTGTATGCACTCCTCCAACTCATGCTGAATTAACCTATGGCATCTCGTACTTGTTCCGCGTAGTGTACAGAGAAGAAAACAAACATTGAAGTCACTGCAGTGGAGGCCTTGCACACATGACAGTCAAATGATGAAAACAATGACAAAGAATTGACTGACAGCAGGCTGCAGCAAAGTTCTCACCAAACAAAACTGGCACTGCCACTCCTTCTCAACCCAGGCACGACCATCATCGCAATGCATCCAGGGACTGATTCTGAAAACGTAGAGGCAGCATGAATGATACTAGCAACCTGGTACCAACTTTTTCAGCGTGCAAAATGTATGATCTGGCAACATACTGAGAGATGCATAAAGGAGGATAGGTTTGCTCATTTGCTTGACGTCATTGGGTTCCAAGCCATGGCTAAAATGCCAATGGTGTTTGGCTCAGTTGCGTTGAAAACCGTCGCCATGAGCAACCTGATGCAGCTGTCAGATTGGAAAAGGAGTAAAGTTGAGTAAAGGGAAAATTACAAACGTCTCAAAGAGGCACGAATTCATGCTCGTGGCTGCATCTCGTGTGAGATTCTACACGCCGAGAGAAAGAAAGGAAGGCAGGAAGGAAAGACAGAAAAAAAGAGGAAAGAAAGAAAAGAACAGAAGTCAAATGAAATGACATGAAATGATATGAAATGGAAGAAAGAAAGAAAGAAAGAAAGCAAGCAAGCAAGAAAGAAAGAAAGATCAAGGAGTCCAAATCGTGCTGTCCCACAGCGACACCCCTACCACGACAACTACAACGATGATGAGCACGATCGACAGCGCTCCTGCTCCCACCACTGCTACTACTGGCACTACTCTACTAATCATTTCCTATTCCTTCAACTACAACTACGAGTTCGACGTTGGCGACAACGACCATCGCCACCGCCACCGCAACCGTCGCCGCAAGCGCGATGATGACAATCCCACGTAAGAGGAGGTCCAAGAGACATGCAGGCGGAGATGATCCAGACCATTGAAAGCCATACAGCAGTGTCCTCTTCGCAGAAGGAAGACAGTATATATTGCACATACATGCCCGAGACCTGCTACAGCACAACAAAGTGTACAAGTCCATTCAGAATGACTTTCAAACTGAAGAGTCACAAAGTCTCCTTGAAGAGAAGCTTGTTGTAATACCTCATGAGAAAACAAACTGACAACAAGCAACTTTGTTGCAACATTCAATCTCTTCTCCAAAATCCAAGTCACCAAGCAAGCGTCAGTGAGACAGGAAAAAAGAGGTATGATGTAAGGCAAGCGAGGACATGTATCCTTGGATCGTTGCAACAAACAATTTCCGAAAGGCTTCCTGGAAGCTACACAAGCAACATGTTGCATCAAACTGTGTTGCGCGTCGAGAGTCTTGATGGGGTCCGTAAAGCCCACACCAGTAGCATGCCGTTTCATCAGCAGTAAGGCCGCAAACCAGCCAATGCCTTGGTCAATTGCGGTAGATTTCTTGGAATGATACTCTATATAAGTATACTCTATATAAGTTCCGCAAAGGGACAAATTCAAACGCAGGGGGTTGATGCATGCTGCTGCAAAGAAGCACAAAAGCCAAGTGAGCTTGAACAAGCCAGGGATCTTTTCATGTGCCTCAGGCTGACATTCAAACGCAAATAATATACTTTCCTGCTCGACCGCTTGATGACACTGCATGCATTGTCGCATTGCACTCATCCAGCCTGCTGCCCATCATCTCTCCTAGCACAAAACTAAATGCCTCTGCTGTCATTCTGACTCGCAGTAGGACCAAGCTGTCCCACTTGCAGCTTTTTGATTACAGAGGAAATGGGAGCCTGTGCTGGACAGGAAGACACATGATTGGTCTGTAAGCTGCACAATTCTAGTCGCTGTCATACACAGCTGCCGTCTCCGCACCTTCCGCCTAAAACAGTCCAAGCTGGTGCCACGACGACTGCCATGTGCATCATCAAACGCCAAACGTCAACAAAAAGGCCTGAGGTTTTGTCATAAGAAAAATAGAGGTATCCTCTGCTCTACCAAAGGAAACTGCAGCTACAGGTGGATCTTCTGAGGTCTCGGCACAATGCTAGCACATCAAAGAAGGTTCCGACACCTGCAATATACCGAACAAACTACCAGCTCTGATTATATACCTGGAGCTAAAAGATGCTAAAAGTGTCTGTGTTTTGTTGCGGAGGATGCGGTCAGTAGTCCACGAAGATTCGCCCTGATATGTTTCAGCATACAGGGAAACCTGCCTTTACAATTGCAGTGTGCAGGATTCTGCCGTGGTGAGAACAAGCTTTGGGAGAACATATGGGCAAAACTCAAACACCTTCAAACCTTTGATGGATACACCCCGCTCAATGGAGGGCCCAGGCAGCCATCAAGCAATCCCACTCAGGCATATAGCAGTTCTGCCTGTGAACCCAGTGGCATATGTTTTCGTGAGCCAAATGGAGATGGCCAGCCTCAGATACCCTGAATACAGAAGCCAGAAGAGTATCTCAATGTCTCAACACAACAAACCGAAACAACCTCCGAGATGCGAAGGTGCCACGGCCAACAGCAGGGCAAACCGAGTATCAAGGCTGGAAGAATCCTCGGAAACTTGATGATTAAGCAGCACAAGACTGGTTCCTGTCTTCTTGCAGGATTTCTCAGGTTCTTCCAAGCCACGAGCGTCTCCAACTCTTGCGCTGCTATGTGGCGACGGCCTGCTGGCTTTCCAAAACGCAAGTAGATCGAAATGCTGCTAAGCTGCTATACTTTGGAAGAATGTTGCAAAAACCTATTTCCATGTGATTCATTTCCCAAGCAGTCTGACACCTCCAGCCAGCCAAGCCAATGACTGGGGGGCTTCTGGCGGCGCCTGGTCGACTTGAAGCCAGCCCTAAACAACGCCCCATCGCCCTGTTCATGTGCGCGATCAATGAGGGTTGAACTCTGCAGGGCCACTGGGCTTCAATTGAACATGCGCAAACTCACTGATATTTCAGAGGTTTTGTGAAGCCGATGACAATGCAGTGAGGTGGACGACAATCTTGTGAATCTGATGACAATCTTGTTAAACTGGAGCATTTGAGTGCAAAGGACAACAACAAAACCGGTTCATACTCCCACCCACCCCAAATAGATCACACGACTCTTCGATGACAACATTGAGGCGATGACAATATTGCGAACTCGATCACCCTTCTGCCGAGAACTGAGAACATAATATGAACCAAATGCAACCAACTATGTCAACAACGTATCAACAACCTAATTTAAAGCGCGCACACCGTTTGTGTGACATATCAATGCCACAAAAAAGGCCTCTTAGACTCTATGTGAACCGTTTCCCGTGCGGATTTAACATGGCAAGCTTGCACGGTCTTGGAGAAATGGAGCAGCAAACGAGCTTGGTAGACATTGAGGCGTGAAGTTTGGTCTCCAGCCCCGGTCATCCTTTCTCATACTATGGCGTTAACCCACACAGCGCACTTTGTTGACCCGTTGCTTTAACCTAGCCCAGGATTGTCAGCATCAGAGGATGCCAAATTGGGTTTGCTCGATTTCACTTCCTGGCCTCAGCTTCAACAGGCTCAGCACCGGACATCATGCTTTTAAGATTCCTGCCAACTGATCAGTGCTGGTCAACCAAAACAAAGGAGCGCAACTCTCTCACAGCGGCTACTACACGTCCACTTCAAGTAATCGGGAACTGAACGCAATGCAATCACTTGCAATCAAAACGACTCCTTTGCAACACAAAACACATCCCTCGAGAGTAACGGAAGCACCATGACACACCTGCAAATATCCACCAGCTGCAATGCCACCAAATAACTTGCGCAGCTCACCGTCCAGGGTACGAGCCCAAACCTCGTAAAGGGCGGCAAAAAATGCATTCACTGATTCATTGAAGCCCGACTAAGTTATCAACACAAATATTGAATTACAGTTTCTTTGGGTTCGCTCCCGAGCCCGGTATCCACATGGGGAGAGCCTGCCATGAGGCGAGTCACCGCCCGATCAGGGATACTCCACCGGATTCCGTTCACCTGGGTGGGTCCTGGGTGGAACAGAAACTCCCCGGTCCGCTTTTGGCTCTCGAGCCAAAACGTGTTGTGGGAGTTGTGAGGATGTATGTGCACCCAAGCCTGCCCTAAGCTCAACACAACTATACATCACAGACATCCCAATTCATGCTACTCGCACTGCGATCCTTTTCTCGCCCTCATTCACCACTTCCCTGTGGTCTCAAACAACCCCACTCCTGGGCATAATGCGTTGACAATTTCCTGTCACCAGGAACCTCCACCCTGGCTGCCCCATCCTCAAGTCCAAGGATGTAACACGCAACCAGGCTCGCTCCGACTGCATTTTCCCAACGCATTCTCAAAGAAATTCTCCCGAGCGAACCACGGCCCGTTATGGGAGATACCGCAAAATCATAGGGAAGTGTGCGAGGGCACTGGAAAAACCATTATAGATCCTCAAATCCCTCCCGGCTGATCGCGTCAGCCCAATTGGATTTGGATGGCACCCATTCCCAGTAAATCCAGCAACAAAGCGAAAACAGCAAAAGATGTCTCATTTGCTCAAGGTCAGTGCTAGAAGATCGGCCTTTGATCAACGAAAGCAGGGCTGCCGTGTTGTCGATGTACCAGGTCCCTTGCCGGCCTCGAAATCTCTCAGGTACGGTGACTAACGCAATCAGGACTTGTAACAATTCAAGTTGAGCGATCTTCGCGTCGCCTGGAGACCACACATCATAGAGCTGGCCCGGAAAATCCGGAGA